TACTTAGAAGGAGAATTTGTTGAGAAATCAAGAGCTTGTTTGGTTGGTGATCATTAAGGAGAAATTAGATGCCTGCAGTCTCCCTTAGGGGCTAAAGGAATATTTCTTACCCTATTGCACCAGCCTTAATTTGTTCTTCTAACTCTGCTGCAACTCCACTAGACTTTGAAGTGTTTCCCTTGCCTAAAAGCAGGTTGGAATGATTTTGAATTAGATTCATCAGAATGGTCAGTAAAATGTTATGGAAAATCAAGAAAAGAAGAATCGAAGAAACTAAACTTGGCTCACCTGTGAAGCCAAAGTTAAGAGGAAAGCCATCTGTGCTTTGAATCATTGCCCTGAAACATTAAATTATTTTTGGACAATCACATATTTATGTATATTTATGTATTGATACTTCTTAATTTTAAGGTTGTGGTGTAATTCATAATCACATTGTCATCACTATTGAACATAATTACATAACTCACTTGATGTGGTTTGGTCCAGGAGTACAAGTGGTCGCACAAGTACCAGTTGCAGGCCCTGTTAAGAACAAAAAAAGTGTTTGAAGTGAAAAATTTCTCCGACAATCACTTTCCAATTAGTGAATGATTTGAATGAAAATAGTTGTTGTCATCAGTGATCACTAACTAACTTGTTATTTAGGTCTCTACTTGGTAGTGTTCCTTCTATATTATTTGATGACTTAGTGGTGCAATTACTGAAAAATTAATTAATCCAGCTGTCAGTTGAATTTCTTACCAACACGAACAGGCAGTCTAAGAATTTACACTCCTTCTGGTTAATGGTATGTTCCTTACATATTTGGGTCTTTCCACATGATATAACATATTCCAACAATTTCCCTTCCCAGACCACAATCCATTTTGACAAAAATTATTAGGTGATGACCATGAGACGCAGTGATAAATAAAGGTCCAACAAGTTCAGGGAAGGAGAAACTCCTTCTTCAACAAGGCTAACTACTAGTAATTAATTTTGTAAACTATCAGAAAACTCCATACCAGTGCCTCCTCCAACCATGGTAGTAAGTCCAGAGGCAATCGCTTCTTCAGCAAGTTGTGGGCAAGTGAAGTGAATGTGCGCATCAATCCCACCTGCTGTCAAGATGAGTCCTTCACCAGCTATGACTTCTGTGCCAACACCACAAACCATCCCCTAACAAGAAATAACTAAATGATCAGCTGCTTAAGTTTACAAAAGCATTTCAACAAAGTTTTTATTAACAGGAAAAATTAAGCATCTTAAAATATGATTGTTTAATACTGAACCTCTGGCATGGCTGCCATATGGTTAAATTAAATAATATATTATTGAGATGTACTTAAGGGAGATGCTTACAAGTGCATCACAAATCACCTTTCAAAAAATATGTTGTCATAAATTATGATGAAAAATGTATAATTAACCAACCTCTGTAACACCTGCCATCACATCTGGGTTACCACCTTTTCCAATGGCAGAAATCATACCATTCTAAACAAATAGGAACAAAACAACAGAATCAATAAAAAACAATAAATAAATACCTCAAGCAATAGTCGCAGGTCTGCAATACACAACTGCACCACACAAAATCAGAGCCTAACTTAACTGAAAGAATCTATGTTGCATTTACATTTTCTGAGAATTATAAGCTTTCAATGATTTTCCCAGGATGGAAGGGGGTGGACAGGCTACTCACTGGAAATTGACTCAGAGGACCCTACTCTAGGTAGGGATTTTAACGTTTATGCACTGCCTCAGGGTCAGGAACATGACCTGGCTGCCATCTCAGAAGGCCATGTGAAATGGCATCTTTGGTCTCTTGGGGTGTAATTTTGACAGTCATATTTAACAATAGATACCCAAGTGTGGGAAAATCGACTTTCTAACTCCTGAAAATGTCAAATAGCATTGGGTTCACCCCCTCTCACCTTTCCACCCTGGGGCAAACCTTTGTGAGGTGCATTGTGGTACTTTGTCATATATATAGTAACACTAGTGCTGGGACACACCTTTATTCCCACGTCAGCTTTTATAACACCAGCAACTGCATCCACAATCAGGGCATTAGTGATGACAGTGTCCAGAGCTGTGTCATTGGTGACATTTGCTGCCTGGCCCATGCCTTCCCTCAAAACCTGTCGGGAGGATAAGACATCAAACTAAATTGACAAGAATTTTTGAAAAGTGTAAAATTCTGAGAGAGGTATGATGTTCTCACAACATACAAGGTTCATATGACAAGAAGTAGAAGATCTTACTAAACCTCAACCAAAATGGTTGTTCATAAAACTTTCTGATATTGCAGGAAGGGGTTTCACACACAAATCAATACAAAAAAAAGAAATGATTTTTGATTACAAAATAAGAGCTTACCTTTCCACCTCCAAATTTAAGTTCATCTCCATACACTGTGTAATCTTTTTCCACCTCAACAATGAGACAACTGTCACCAAGACAGACCTGATCAAGAGGAACAATAAAATTCACTTTGGCAAACATGCAACATTACCATCTATAAAATCATTTAAAGATCCTAAACCTGTCGTAACTGGCTGGCCATATTTTCCTCCTCAATGAAACATGCACTATTTAATGACTGGTTAATGAAAACTCTGTTTCTCCTCTGATAGCAGCTCTTCAGGCTTGTAATTAATAATGGTCATAGGACTGAGTGGAGTCCACTACAGTCTATACCATAAGAGTGATCAAAAAATCAGACAATCATGAAGTGGAAGTCAGATTAATTTTGTTAATCAGGAGTATGATTACAGACAGAATTAGACAACAAGAAGTCCTGTTACCAATTAATCAAAACTATGACAAAATTTGAAAAAGAAACTATACTAAAACAATTAACTCTGCGAAATGCAAGACAACAGCTTGTGCACACACATATCATGTTCTGTCCACTCACACAGGTATGATGAGTTAACTATCACTCGAACTGTCCTATTACACCATCCAATTACAAGCATGACCCCTACACTGTCCTATTAGCACTAAGTTGGTAACTAGTATCTGGGAGGCCTGGGTTTGAATCTTATCAAAGCCTACAATTGTTTTCAAATTTATTTTCTGCAGTGACTTTGATCGCAGCTCACCTGCAAGCATCATTTCTTTATTTGTAAAATGTTTTGTTAGCAGTTCAAATCAGACAAACCTTGTCTCCAACAGTTGGGCCATAAATGTCAATGTACAGTGGTCTTGGAATAGTCACTTTACTGACACCAGCATCAAGTTTATCCTATTGTCACATGAAAACAGTTCAAGATAATGTGATATCATAACATAATTAATCATATATGTATTATAATTATTATGTAAGATTACTGCCTCCTTAACTTTAAAGTTAAACAGCTTGTGACCAGCAAGTGACAAGCAACTTTTTTTAATCTCTGGGTTTAATCCATGAATGAAAAAATAAAAAGTTAAATTGCATGGGGGCACTGTAACAAATCCTGCAATCTAACTAATGGGTTCTTAGTGTTTTGCAGATATTCCTATCTCCTGAGGCCATGGCACAGTAATCAAATGAATGCTTTTGCAATTTTTTGTTTGGCTTTGGTTCATAAGCCTCTGGCAGCATGTTTTTGACCCTTCACACCCCAAAATCAGTAGGAATATTCTCCATACTGTTCTCTATACATGTCCTAAGGTGCTGACAAGGAGAATTTGTTTAACAATCACTAGTTTCATTAGTTGGTGATCATTTCCTTTATTCTCATGATCTCAACATTTGATTCAGTGGTGATATTGTAAGGAGAAATTAGATACCAGTCTCTCTTAGGGATCAACGAGTTACAAGACCTCAGTCAGAGATTTAACTGACTGGAATTTCCCAACTGACCTCTTACTAGGTTTATTTCATGTCTTGGTCACTTGATCTTTCCCTTCAAACTCAGCAAGTTTTCTAGAGATTGATTGTTCCCAATGATTGTGTACCTCATCAGCTACAAGTAGTATGAAATACTTAATTATTACTAAATATACAAACCTGTGGCTTGTGAGCAAAACCTTTTGAAGCAACCTTCTTCATGACAGTGTCCAAGTTTTCGGGCAAAGCTGGTCCATCAGTCAGTCCATTTCCTCCACGAACCACTCTAGCAAGGGGAATATTTTTATGATCAGTGGCAAACTTAACAATTATTTGAAAAGGTTGGGGTAAAAGGGAGAAAAATCATGTAATTTACAAGTAGAAAAGGCTAGTTTTCATCACCTTCTATGTAAGCATAACTAAAGAAAACCCTTAACTGACCTGTTTCCAGCAATGTCAACCAGTTCAACTGTTTTGGTGTCCCCAGGTTCAAATCTAACTGCAGTACCGGCAGCAATGTTCTGTATTATTTAAAATTATCACAAATCAACAAGTTCTCAAATGTAAGTGGACCTTTGATGCATTTAAATTTGAACTGGCAAAGGGTTGGTAACATCAATTCATAAGTGGATTTGAGGATGTTTAACAACACTCTTACAGTACTTAATTAAACCTTCAAATAAAATAACTAGTTATTTATTAAAAATAAATGAAAAATTAAACAAAAGTTAATATAATTACAATGAAAATTTAATTTTGAACTTCAAATTTATTTTTGTAACCACCAACTGAGCTTGGGACACTGTTAATAAAAAGTCTACCAGAGAGTGAAAAGAATTTAAGTTTGATAATAAGTACTGCAAGGGAAATCAGCTCACATTTAACAAAGGTTTAGCTTAAAAGCTGAGTTTAGGATTACTAAGGAACAAATCTAATTGAAGACCTAAGATAAAGACAAGAATTTGGACCTGGAATGTTCAGCTTTCAAATCCAGTTCCTAACCACTTCAGTCTACATCCACCTCTAACATATATTCAATTTGTGTTTACCGGTAATTCTCCTCTATGGTTGTAGCACATTCTCTTCTAAATTAGTTGGGATTGGGAGGATCTGATGTTATATCAAGATAAAAAACCTTAATCTGATCTTCTCAACACCTCATTTCTGGATAATGCTGTGATGTTTTAGGCAGAAGTTACATATTCATCACTTCTAAGTTTAAAGTCAATCTTACCAGTCTCATACCATAGGCAGCTGCCCTATCAAATTCTAGTTGCTTGT